AACAAATGATAAATTGATGAACCTATCTTTTTGTCAACCACAATGTAAAGATACACAGACCAATACAAAAAAAAAAAAAAAAGGAGCATTTTTCCTAAAGGAAAACCAATCCGTTATAATTCTGTAATGTCATATTTACAGTTAAATTCAGATTAGCTTTGCTGAGCTTAACTAAGTTCCCTGGCAAATGTCACTGCACGTTTCTGGATCATTTCCAGTAGTGGTAAAATAAGTTAGTACTTAGGAGCTAATTGTGTCATTCAAACAATGGTTAAATTTCAGTACACATACGTGTGATATGCAATATCATAACTTCAACAACGCATTTTATGTTGCTCGTATATGAATGTTGTAAACATACACGTCTCTGAGCCCCTGCCGCATCACACAAACATGTATATATCCCCCCCACACACACAACTCACATGTATGCATGCACATATTTTAGCATCAATGTATCACATACTATGGGCCAAATTCCGTTTGTCTTATTCCTGGGAACAGACCCATTTAAACCAATACCATCTGATGGGAGGTGAGCAAGATTTGGTCCTATATATATTAACTGCCACACTGCAAGACAGGCAGCGCTAATAACATTAAGCAAGATGGAACTCAGAGGATGCATGCTGAACACAAAAGAATACAAACATTTTATTATAATTGCGGTAGAGTTATCACCTTGGCATCTTAGTTTAGCCAACACTAATAAGACCATAAGAATCGCATTAGTATTGGTATTGTAATACTTTTTTGAATTCTAATTGGTCCTGTGCCTTGGCATAATAAAATAAATCATGACAACCAAGCAGAAGTCCTTTTGGTAACTAAAAAAAGGAAGCCCACAACTATCAAACCAAGACTTCTTTCTCAAGGCACAATTTTAAAAACAGACTATAAAATCCACATGTAATATGTAAATGGCATGCCTCCATGCCAATGCTTTTTTACATTAATAATAATTTAGCAGAGCTGCAGCTCATGTCTTCTATATTTCAGAACAGGACATTTGTTTAAGTCTTTTCATAGCAGTTTTAATTGCTATTTTTTAAATATTAAGAGTTTGATATGTTTAAAATATATCTGTAGTCTGATTTTAAAAGTAGATCAAATACTTAAGTCCATGTTGGAATTCTGAGGTTTCCTCAAAACAGAGTGTGTGAAAATAGAGATATTTATAAAATGATGTATGTTAAAATCTATTGACACAGTGAATTTGCATTGTCTTTAAGAAAGTTACTGCTTAAAGTTTTTCTTGGTTTTACTCTGCATCCAGTTATAGCACAGAAAAAATATTGTGACTTACAAACACGAACTCAACTCTTCATCTAGAGAAAAATAAACTACATGATAGTTTGGCAATAGAAGGTGCCATGAAGTTTTAAAAACTGCAATCACAGCTATTTCCCCCTTACCCTCACACACACCGAGATCTGGATTTCTTTTACAACATTAAAAAAAAGTATAATTGCATTTGTGAAAAAAGATTATGAGCCCCAAGAATGTTGCAAACAGAATGGAAAAAACACTAAAAATCAATGGGCTGCAAAAAAACATGCAAACAGCTGACCCATAACTCAGATTACAAATACATTCTGACAGGTGATCATTAAAAGGCTGGCTCACTTTCAGGAGCTTCTGAAAAAAGAATGGCAAGGGATAATCACTTCTTAATTTTGTGTGCATGCACGTGTGAGAGAGAGAGAAAAAAACCACATGTGTGCACAATGGCTTGTTAAAAATATCACAAGAAAAGTAGGGGTGTTTTTTCCTCTTGCCAGCTCTAAGTGTTATTTAATTTGGGAGAATGGTATCAATGACTGTTCACTCTAAACTCTGAGGCCCCTTAAAGCTGAGGGAAAAAACACAGTTTCACAAGAACTAGCCCGTGTTAAGGCGAGTAAATGAAAAATCACAGAATAACTTCCCAGGTTGGGCCCAAAACACTGTTCACAGCTTTATATTTTTTTAAATAAGAAATGAATTTTGCCAATTCATGTGATTTTTGCACATTATTTTTCCTCCCTAACTATCGTCATTCTATTTATTTATTTTGCTTCTTTATCAAATGGTTCTGACAATGGCATTACATGCTGCGCATGGCAAGTGATCAACCAGAGGGGAGAGGAGTGGTTTCCTGCTCCCAGCAGCAAAGTTTGCTTTCTGAAATGTTGTAGGAGTGTAGGGTCACAATCGAAGTTTAGTAAGAATATGCCACTTTATTTGAAAGCATAAGGCTTCTTATTGCTCCATTTCCGCCAAACTGTTGATATTGTGCACCGGGTTCTCATCTCGGACACCGGCATAACTCCATTAGAGATACTAAGGGTCTGATTTAAAGTCCCCTGAACTCAGTGAAAAATTCCCATTGCCATCAAATGGTTTTGAATTAGGTTTATGATCAAAATCCAGCCTTAAGGTGTTTCCTTCTCTGCCTACTGCTTAGGGCAGAATTAGATAAGTTCATGGAGGATAGGTCCATCAATGACTATTAGCCAGGATGGGCAGGGATGCAACCACACGCTCTGAATATTCCCTAGCCTCTTTTTGCCAGAAGCTGGGAGTGGATGACAGGGGATGGATCACTCGATGATTGCCTGTTCTGTTCATTCCTGCTGAAGCACCTGGCATTGGCCAGGGTTGGAAGACAGGGTACTGGGCTAGATGGGCCACTGGTCTGACCCAGTATGGCTGTTCTTCTGTAGGTCTGAGTCTCATGTAACTCAACTGAAGTCAATAATTACACTCTGGGTTTACACTAGTGTAACAGATCAGAATCTGATGTAAATTTTTGTGTTTTATTTCTTGCCTGATGTTTAACTATTACGTCTCTGTTTTTTATTGTGTGTGCTTTTTGCCTGGTATGTTACAGGAGTATAGGACATACAATGATACGGCCAACATTACAAACAAGAACCTTCCTCCCTACTTCCTTCCTACCACTGACAGCTGGGGCCCTGAATTCTCTTCTGTCTTAAAGAATATGGTCCTGTTGACTGTACGAATTCTCTTTCACGCTTTCTCCCTTTTTCTTCCCCTGTTCATTTTACATAGTGGCATCTGTGTATTACTATTTTTACTTCTGTTTGTATTTTTAGCCTGTTAATAGCTAGGTTACCGGTAGGAAAAAGATGACAGGCAATTTTCCATGGAATTCCCAGATTCTTGACATGATTTAAGCAAAAATTCCTGCAGAGCTGGTTAGCATTTCTCCAGATTATTATTAGAGCTGTTTAATCGCAGTTAACTCACATGATTAACTCAAAAAAATGAATCGCGATTAAAAAAATAAATCGCAATTAATCACAGTTTTAATCGTACTGTTAAACAAAATAGAATACCAATTGAAATTTATTACATATTTTGGATGTTTTTCTACATTTTCATATATATTGTATTCTGTGTTGTAATTGAAATAAGTGTATATTATTTTTATTACAAATATTTGCACTGTAAAAGCTATAAAATAGTATTTTTCAATTCACCTCATACAAGTACTGTAGTGCAATCTCTATCGTGAAAGTGTAACTTACAAATGTAGATTTTGTTTGTTACATAACTGCACTCAAAAACAAAACAATGTAAAACTTCAGCACCTACAAGTCCACTCAGTCCTACTTCTTGTTGAGCCAATCGCTAAGAGAAACAAGTTTGTTTACGTTTACGGGAGATAATGCTGCCCGCTTCTTATTTGCCTGTTTCACTTTCTGGTGACATTGTATTTGCATGGCACTTTTGTAGCTGGCATTACAAGGTATTTACTTGTCAGATATGTTAAACATGCGCATGCCCCTTAATGCTTCGGCCACCATTGCAGAGGACATGCTGATGATGCTCATTAAAAAAATAATGTGTTAATTACATTTGTGACTGAACTCCTTGGGGGAGAATTGTATATCCTCTGCTCTATTTTACCTGCATTCTGCCATGTATTTCATCTTATAGCAGTCTCGGATGATGACCCAGCACACGTTGTTCATTTTAAGAACACTTTCACTGCAGATTTCACAAAATGCAAAGAAGGTACCAATGTGAGATTTCTAAAGACAGCTACGGCACTCGACCCAAGGTTTAAGAATCTGAAGTGCCTTCCAAAATCTGAGAGGGATGAGGTGTGGAGCATGTTTTCAGAAGTCTTAAAAGAGCAACGCTCCAATGCAGAAACTTCAAAACCCAAACCACCAACAAAGAAAATCAACCTTCTGCGGGAGGCATCTGACTCAGATAATGAAAATGAACATCTGTCGGTCCTCACTGCTTTGGACTGTTATTGAGCAGAACCCGTCATCAGCATGGACGCATGTACTCTGGATTGGTGGCTGAAGCATAAAGGGACATATGAATCTTTAGCGCATCTGGCACCTAATATCTTGTGATACTGGATACAACAGTGCCATGAGAA